ATCGTTCTGGGAGGTGGGAAACCCTCCCGTCCCTCTGAAAATGGGAATTTAGAGTCACAGAATATTGGGAGTTGGAAGGGATCCCTGAGGATCATCGAGATCCAGCGAGTGGCCCATCTGGGCTCAGCCCCCCAGCCTTGGTGTTCCCAGCACCGTGCTCTGCCCACAGGAGCCCAAAGCTCCCTGTGAAGCTCCAGCCCGAGGTGAAGCCTCCGGGGCCTCGTTTGCCCGGGCGATTGGCAGCTCTGCAATTCGGGAGGTGTTATAAATAGGATGTGGTGGGGTGCTGGGGCTGCTCGGCTCTCCCAGCTTCCCAGCCCCTGCCCAGAGCGGGCCCTGCTCTCTAATTTGCCGCCGGGGCTGCCCCGCTGACGCCGAGCTGCCAAGGGTTCTGTGCCGGCACAGCCGCAGGGCCGAGCATCCCGCCCGGGCTCCTTGGGATTGCGGAGAACTCTGTGTACCGGCGGCGACTGCCATCCCACCCTTTAGGCCAAGCCTCATCTATCAAAGCCGGGCCCAGAGCGAGCGAGAGGAAGCTCCCAGATAAACATACAGCAGCGCCTAAACTCCTAATCACTCTGGGCTTCCGCTTCCAGGCCCTATAATTAGAAGTCCTTCTTTTCCTTGTATTCCCAGTTGACGCAAATGCTTTTTGTGGCTTGGCACCTCATTTAGGGCGTGGGCTTAGTTTATGGCCAGGCCAGAGTCTGGTTTAGTCTTCTGATACTGCATAAATAGCTCTTAGCCCACAGTCTACATCTGTACCAGTTTTTCCTTTTATGCATATATTCCCGGTGTTTTTTAAACGTTTCTATCCTGAAAGAAGCTTATTGTTTCCCAAAAAGAATGCAGGAAAAGTAGGAAGCTGTAAATTAGGGCAGGTAAAACAAAGCTTTGCTAATTTTTTTTCCCATCTAGGATATCTATCTCCTCCTTTAAGTATGGATTTTAATCAGCTCTGTGGATTTAAAACAGCCACGCGGTAAAACAGTCATTAATTTATTCTGGCTGCACCCTCTTGCTATGGATAAGCAAAATCAGAATTTTTGCAGTGAGATACATTCTAAATAAATTTCCACTGGGTCCTGTGTATGCAAGACTTCAGCTGTTATCTGTTAAACAGGGATTATTGCCAGTTTGAAAAATAAGCAGGAAATCCTCAAGAATTATTCACTTTTCATCTCTGATTATTCATCCATAAAGTACATCACAAGAGAAAACATTCTGGGCTGAACTTGTGGCAGCTTTAACCCGTATTTCCGTCTAAACAACTTTTTGGGAAAACTGTCACAAGGTCTCTTAGAAAGCCGAGTTGAAGTTTCCTGCGCTTGAAAGTGAAAGTGAGGTGAGGACCAGGATTCCAGTTCGCCTTTCCCCGCTGGGATTAGGTATTCCTGCAGGGAGATGGAGAGAGCAACAAAATGGCTGAGCTGTGATAATGGAAAACCAGGATTCTTCAGTGTGAGGGCTGGAAAATACCACGGCGAAACCCAAGCGCAGTGTTCTAAACCAGTGGTGATTTATTGTTCGAATAACAGGGGTGAGGAAGACATTTCAAAATGCTGTTTTATAAATACACGTTCTTTCCCATCTGTGGTGTTGTGCTTGGGACCTCCGTGTTGATACAAGTTCTGCCAGTATATATTTGTACTTGAAATGCAAATGTGGGTGTGAAAGGTCCTGCTTTAACTTACTGAAAAAGAGTCGCTAATAACAAGCGAAGGGCCTGTTTCCCCTCGGCTTTCATCTGCTAAAATGCATTTATTCCAAACAGGACAGGCAGCAGGAGTTTGGATTAGGCAAAATTGCCAGATCAGATACCACCCATCTTTCTATTTTTAAGTCAATTCCTTTCCACCCACAAATGTATTATCTTTCACCTCCGGGCTCCTTCAAGTTAGCAAAGACAGAAAAAAAGACCCAAAACCCACGAAACCCCTGAAAAACCCAAAGGCGAGGCACGTGAGTGTGGAACCGAGGACCGTGTGGATCACCTGGAAGCGATCGGAGCCCGGAGGGATGGGCCATCTCACGGCTGCGGCCGTTCGGGTCCGGGCCGCGAACGAACAGGTACCACCGTGGGCTCTGGGGGTTCGTGCACCGCAGGTTAAAGCTCAGGTTAAAGAGGGGTTTATGGATTTGGGGGAAGGGCTGTGAGGTGAAATTCTATCCCATGTGGGCTCACTGGCTGCCCGCAGACACCTGCGGTTCTCGCCGGCGCTGGAAACGAGATCCCGGTTGGCCAAACACCGATGGCTGTGATGGACAACACGGGGGGGAGTGTCGGTGTTTTCACTGGCAGCTTTTTGTCCCCAGTTCCAGACAGATTTTTGGCTCGTTTAAAGTATTTTTTTATGATCTTCCTCACACCGTGCCGTGGGATGGGATCCCACAGGGAACCTCTGCTGGGATCTCTGGGTGCACTCAGCGCTGTGTCTGGGTTTATAAAACACTTCTAGAGCTTTGGGGGAAGAAAAAACTATCTGTGTTTGCTCAGGCTGTCTGCTCACTGTTGAGAGAAGCCTCATGGATTCATCTCTTCCAGCTTCTCCAAAGGGAATAATGGAGAGCTCAAAAGGACTCAAAGCACACTCCACTTCTCTATGAAGCTGTCTGACATGTGAGCAGAGAAAAACACGGGAATAGGGAAAATAAATTCTTACTGGGTTGAATTAGACCTTTTGGAATATCCTTGCTCCAGTAACAGTGGCAGCCTAATTCCAGCACACAAGCCCCTGTTTGCTTCCAGCTTTCTCTGCTGGAAATGCTATATATTATTGAGGACCGCACACTTCACTAGGAGGGAAGTGGAGTTTGTGATGTTGCAGAACAGAATTAATGCAAATTGTGTGCATAATCCCACACTAAAGACTTGGCTGACTCGCACCGGAGCGACTTTAGCTGTATTTCCTATCAACACAGTCACTACAAATCAAGGAAATTGCCAGTTAAGCCAACATTAACATCCAGACCAACCTCAGCTCACATGCCTTCCCGCCCAAACATAATACCCCAGTGCACTGCCGGGTTTCTCAGCTCCATAACAAACTCCCTTTCATTTCCAACACCCGGGACCGCGGTCCCAGCCGGTAACAGTAAAAGTATGTCTGCTGGAGGGGATCTTGCTGAGGTCAGGCCTGGGGTGCCGTGTCGGTGTGACGGTGAGGGATGGTGGGAGCTGTGTGGGTGGCCGCGCTCCGGCCCGGCCCTGCCGGCCTCGCTGCTCGCGCTGAGGGGAGACTCGAGGGCAGGTTTGTCTCTGATGCCATTTGGATTTCTCTGAGTTTGTCCCTTGCTGCTGGTGGGCCTCACTGCCCCGAAAGGAGGTGTTTGCCCTCTCAGGATGCTGATTTCCTGAGGGGCCCAGGGGTGCGGCCGCTGGTGCTCCCACAGAGCCGTTGATGATTCCGGGTTGTCCCGGTTGGAGGGGTCGGGACTGGGCTGTGCCTCACGTGTCCTCACAGACCCCTCAGTGGCACCGGCAGAGATGTTGGGCCCAAATTTCCTTGGCCACTGAAATTTTTCCATGTGGGCTGAAGGGAAGGGGGATTCCAGGATTGCCAAGGAGGGAAAACACTCAGGATACCGATCCAGTGATGTAATGGTGGCCCAGTAGAAAAATTAATTAATCTTTGCTAAGAGACTGTTTCTCAGCTGCTCGGTACACAAGAGGATTTTATTCCAGTTTCATTCTAAAATGTTCCAAGTGTCATAAGGTGGGACTTCAATGGTGACGCTGTGAGAGCTTTAGATGTGTCCTGTCTGTCTCTGAGGGGAAGATGAATCCTGGAGCCACGTGTAAATAACCCAAGGAAGCAAATGCTTTTTTATGACAGCAGTGAGAGAATCATTATTCCTTTAAATAGGTGTCATGTAAAACGTGGAGATAAGGTTCTCTTCCTAAAGGATGAAAGATTTCAGTTTTGCCTTATGTGGAGAATCATCACAACAGAGCTATGTGGGAATTCCTGGGCTCCTTTAACAGATGGGTTCCTTGAAAACTACTTAGAATGTCACTGTTAAACTGCTAAAACCACTTTGTATTTGACAGAAATTAAATGCCAGAGGATTACTTTGGGTGATAACTTATTAGATTTCATTGATAAGCATGGTACTGTGGACATTTTTATACAGAAAAATGAATTTGAAGTTTGCTACCGTAGCTCTACGTTCTACCATGATGCTGCACTTCTCTTATATGTACAAAAGTCCTTAATTTTTGGTATAAAATCATGCACTTTTATGGCAAATCAACTTCAAATATGTTTGAAAATGTTTAAAAACTGGGTTATGGACTTATTCATAGTGGGAGAAAAAAGTAAGTAACAAACACAAGTTACTGTGATTTTGCTGATCTTTTAATGGAATCATTTCAGTACCTCCACCAGTGACCTGTTTTCAATGAAGTTAATACCTAATTTAGTATTTCACTTGAAAGCTCTCAACTCTGATTTGCTGCCTTTCACCAATAAATCAGTTTCTTTCGTTTATAAGAAAGATGCTTCTTCAAGATTGGTTTGGTCTGGGTTGTTTTGGTTGGGTTTTGATAATATCTCTTCTTCCAGAAATTGTTATTGTGGAGACATCAGTCTTGCCTAGGGAAGAGCATTTTGGGGTTTTACTGTAACATCCATCATTTCAATGCTTCATATTGGTCACACAGTTCTCAAATTTAGTTAGAATATTCAGATTTTTCAGTTGTTTTTTTATGGATTTGTGTTGTAATACTATATGAATGCTTAATAAGATATTAAGTAGTAATACTGTGAATATGATTTCAGCTGAATTTCTGATTCATTTTTACGAGGTGAATCCCTTTCAATTCACTAATTCTCTGTGTCTGTTTTCTCCTGTTTCCAGAAACCCAAATGTAAGCCACGCTTGCTTTTTTAGATAGACATTTTAAGCCTCTTCTTTTGCAGTGATTAATCTCTTGTGCTTTTGTGTTTCTTTTTCTTTTTTTTTCTTTTTTTTTTCTTTTTTTTGTTTTTTTTACCCAGGGATGTTGCTGGTCACCACTGACACGTTAGGCCATGATTTCCATGTTTTCCAAATCCTGACACATCCTTGGTCATCATCACAAAGTGCCGTCCATCATTTGTACACACTTCACAGGGGAGAGACTGAAGCCAAAGTAAGTCCAACTCTTTTTGCTGCAGAATAATCCCCAGACACCTTATACATTCTGTGTATGTTGGCACTTTAATGTTTGTTTCAGCACACAAAGAGCCTTTCTTGTGTTCCAGCCACAGAAGGGATAAGAGCAGAGCGTTTAACCTGGACAAGAATAAATTCTTGCCCTTTGCAATGAGGTGCTGTCAGATTTATTCAGCTCTGGCACTGCCTCCAAAGGGCCCCGATTATTGGCTGTGTTTGCACTTAACCTTTTCTCATGTAACATGTTCAACATTTGTCTCGTGCCCGTGGAGCAACTGTCAGGCTCTGTGCTTGACTTTGGTGGTAAAAGCCACAGACAGACAATTAAAGAGTTGAAGGGAAGGCTTAATCAGAGGGCTGCCATTAACTTCTCTCTGCGGCGATACGTGTCCAACTTCCCAGCTGAGAAATCCCACCCTGAAAGGTGGAACCCCAGGTTAGGATGTTAGCCAAGGGTGGGCAAGTCTGATGTTTTAAACAGTGCTCAGTGAGGTGATTTTCTGGCGGGGTGGGGGACAGGGAGCTGCTCCTGCTGGCACTGCCGTGGCTCTGCTCGAGCCCAGCGTCGCTCTCGGGCACCGGGAGGGCCCCACCTTCGTGGCACTGAGTAACTGCCGAGGAACCCGCTCTAAATACAGAAATAAAAATGTCACCACGGGCTAAGAAATGAGTATTGCACTCGCTGATGCAATTACACACTGCGAGCACAGGCTTGTGACAGCCTGGCAGATGTGAAGCAGTGTGACAGGGAGAAGCCTCGGGCGCTGTGATTATGACCCTGGCACTGGGAGCTGGGATTAGTGTGGTACCCTGATTATACTTCCTTCAAACCTTTTTTTTTCCCTATGAGTTGTGCCATTTCCCTTCAATTTTTTGCCTCTGTAACAAGTAGAATCTGAAAACCTTGTTGCTTGTAGCAGTGGTTGATAATGTTTCAATCTGTGTGAATTTAATTTACTGATGGTTTAAGTTAGGCTTTGCTGCTGCCATTCTGAAAAAGTGTAATTACTGTTATAGGTAGTGGTTTACTATAAGAAGGAATAACCCATCTGGAAAGTGAGAGGAAATTAGGAAAAACTGTGCCTATGGGATAATATATATAGTACTAACAAGTAGTTTTTATAAATAATGCACAGAGCAATGAGATCTGTGTGTACACACACACTCTGTCATCTAATTGAGCCTGTTCTATAATGTGTTTAATGTTTTAGAGTTATTTTTGTTCTCCTTTCATACAAAGACTCAATATTGAAAACCAAAGCACAGGACTCCAGTCACAAGGAACAAAGATGTTCTTCTGGTTTTTACAGCTGATAAATTTGTTTTCAAGGCACACATTGGAAACCAAACAGAACATGTCTTAGAGAAGAAACCCTTATTGATACCCGGGTTTTTGGGGTATAGTATTAGCATCTCTGTGAAAGCATTGCATTAAAATCCTCAGAATCAACATAGTAAAATTTTTTCCTCGTTTGCCACACAGTTTCCATTTGGGATGTGAACAGTATAGCTTTTGGAATGGCGGAAAATGGGGAAAATTCTAACCAGTCTGAGGTGTGTTGGTGGGAGTTTCACAACTCCCTGGATAATTAAACAATATTGCATTGGTACCTGTGATCCTCAATACACATCATTTAAAAGATTTACAGAATGTGATGAATTGTTTTATTGTTTTCTTTTGGAATAGAAGTATTTGTAGCTGTTTAGTGAGAAGAGTAGTATGGGGTGCTGCTCTTTTGTTGTGTAAATGTCACGTATGAGTAGCATTAGACACGAATTTTGGAGACTGTTCAGTGCAAAATCCTCAATGCAGATATTCTGTGGCCCACACTGGGAGCCTCTGTACCTCCTTTCTGGTTAGAACACTGTTTATACATTTGCCACCAGACCTTTTTTCTTTTTTTTTCCCCCCGGTTTAAAGCTAACTGTGAATCAAGGCCAATGGTCTTAAAGGTCACCTTCTGCACTGGAGCTATAAAAAGTTCTAATTTGTGTTGATGGACATGAGTGATTATCAGTGTCAGAATTTGTTTAGCTAGTACCCATGATAAATTGGTTAAACATCATCATTATGCCCATGTTGTATGTGGGATTTTAATGTCCCTGCTGAAATCATCTGCTTTTGGACACGAGATTCTGGCCAGCAGAGCTTCACCCCACATTCCCAAAATCTCCTTCTTTCACAGGCTTTTTTTTTTGGCTTTGTTCTCCATTAGTGTTTTTCTTGCTAATACTAATTACTGAGAATATAAGACCATTCAGTCCATGGACAAAGAACTGGTACATGGGTGGTGTTTTTAGAACTCTCAGGTGGTTTTCCTGTGGCTGGGCCTGAGCTCTGGACACACAGAAGTTTCCACAGGGGATCACTGCTCCTGCACAAATGGACTTCACATGGAATGCACCGTGAGACTGATTTATCCAAGACGTGTTGGATCTGCAGTGTAACACAGGACAGGCCATTTTCACTCTTGGAACAGAAATTTGGGAACTAAGTTTATTGGTGTGAACTGCAATTTCACCCGGTTTGGAATCCCAGCCCTGGAATATCCCTGTTTGCAGGGCTGCAGAATTCCTGGTCTCTGTTTTACCTTGGCTTTGGTGGTGGGAGGGCAGAGCAGGAGCTTGTACTTCTCATGTGTCTCCTAAGAGGAAGTGACAGGAAGTCCCCTCTGTCATTCCTAAACTGAAGCATCCTAAGTGGATTGAGTTGCACACTTAATGTGCATTAAAGGAAAAGAAGCAAGTGTTGTGACTTTATAAGGGTGTTTTCTGATCAGGTACTGCAGTCAAGCAGTGTCTCCATGTCACCCACATGTCAGCTGTCAGTGATCTTCATGTAAGGGGCCTGTCCCTGCCAGCCCACTTGGTGTCCTGGTGCTGAGGATGTTTAGGTACCATTCCTGGTGAGGTGGGGTTTTGGAGCTTCCCCTCCCCTTGATGCAAATTCAGGGTGAGCAGCAGCATTATTCTTGTCTCTCCAGGACTGTTCCTAACCCAGCTTTCCTTTTCTCCTCCTGGGTGCCTTGAACAATGAAACAGAGCATTATTGAGTTTTAAAGTGCTGTTATTGCAAATTGTGTTGCATTGGCTGACACTGAGCAGCAAATACAGGAAGAAGCCTTTTGTGCTGAATCAAACATTGGGTCGGGACTGTGAAGATCAGTCACTTCCCAAGAAAGCCACTTTCTGTGACTGGGATGAAGATGGGGTAAGATGGAAAGGGGAGCTCTGCCTCAGAAGGGAATTGCAGGGACAATGGCCATGGAAGGATGTGAAGAGCTCAGATGATTCACGATGCAAGTCCCGAGGTCACAACGCTCAAAGTCACTTTTCTGCAAACACAGACAGAAGTCACTGTTTTGGTTACATCAGATTAAGATCTTGTAGTCCTGAAGTGCCACTTACACTTTGAATTTTTTTTTTCCCTTAAGAGGACAAAAAGCAGCATGTCTGAGGCACTGAGTAACACCAGGAAGGTCCACTGCAAGTGCTGGTTGTATTTAACTGTGCCAGAGAGAGACCTGAAGCTCTCAGAGGATCCACATTTGCACAGTTCAGCTGCAAAGAGGAAAAATGTGCCCATGTCTGTGGTGCATGGTTTGGTCAAGGATACCTTTTCTTGTCCTGCAGCTCTTGCATTGTGAGTCAACACTTCCCACACTCCTGGTTTTCCCCGGGAGCATTCTGGAAGGTTTTTAATGAAGGTATAGCATGTTCCGAACTGAGGAAGCTCATTTGCTTGCAGATGAAAGTTAGAGCGTCACCTGATGATCCTTTGCCTTTGATCTGAAATCGTAAACAGAACAAACAAAATCCCTGAAAACACAATTATCTCAGCCCAGAACAAATAAACGCAGCGATAGCGTCAGCGGGCCCGTGGCCAGGGCCCTCCGTGACCTCCCGCACTGTCAGCCTGCTGCTGCTGCTCTGACTGACTTCAGTGGGCACAGGCAAACACAGGGAACGAGGAAAACATTCCAGCTCGGGCTGCCACGGAGCACGTGCGATTCCACGCTTTTCCAGGGAATGCAGGAATGTTCCTGTGATGTGATTCCACAGGGACCGGGCAAGGTTGTGTCGTGTCCCATGTCCAGGGAGTGAAACGTTGGAACAGCTCACATTTGAGGTGAACCTCCATGACCAAGAGAAATTCCTTCCTGTCGTTTGACAGACAGTTGCAGTTATTGAAATAGTCTCTGGAAGAGAGACTTTCTAATTTCTAGGAAATAAGCCGGGGACAGACTTGAAATAATAAAGATTGATTTTGGGAAGTTGATCAGTCTTGGATGAGAGCAGACACGAAGAAGCTGCTGCAATTAGAAGTAGCTTGAGTGCCTTGAGGAGCCAGAGCTCGGAGCAGTGGCCTTTGTAGTTTCAGTTATTAATAGGCAGCTCTGCTCTGGCTGGGGGACCCCACATGAGCATCTCCCTGTGCCCAGGGAGAAACTGGGATCTGAAATCAGTTTTGAGGACTCGGGGAGACAGACTTGGGTCTGTGTGGGTCTGATAAATCTTATTGTGTAGTCCATGATTTTATTATTTTTTCATTTGTGTTCGTTGCTACATTATTTCCTTAATTTTCTCGACCAAAAAAATTCACGTGCAGACCAGTTTTCTAATTTATTTCCACCCTTAGCTCCTCAGTACTGCTGCTCTTTCTCACTGTTAATGATAGTGGTTTTTGCTTTCTGCCATCTCTCTGCACAGCATAATTAAATACTTAAGTCCAGTGCCTCAAATAACGGTGTGTTTTCTCTGTGACACGGCACAGTGAGCATGAACAGGTCAAGTTCCTGCCGCAGCACTGCTGGTCCTTCTCCACTGTTGTTTCAATTAACTATCAAAGTTTAATTAAATGCAGTGAAGTGCACCAGAATATACAGATCGCAGCTGGTGGAACTCCCCACACCTGAAAAAGTGGCTGTAGGGGGAAAAAAAAAGAGCACTAGGAAGGTCAAAATGTGCTTTATTTCTTTATTGGGAGCTCTGTTTTCTGACTGTTGCACGGTGCACGTGCATCAGGGGTGGATTTGCCTGGGAGGTGCTGGGACAGCCCAGGAAAGCTCCTTCTCCTTGCTAAGAAAAGAGGTGCCAGTACCTGTGTGAGGGTTCTGCTGCAAGTGGGGGAGGTTGGAGCAGGTGACCCACTGTGGCCCCTTCCAACCTGCCCCACTGGGTGATTCTGTAATATCAGAAGTGATTTTTGATCTGTGCAGTCCTGAAAGCTGATCTCTGGGAGGGCTGTTGGCACTTGGTGTGTCCTTGTAGGGCTCCATGGATTAAATTACCCGACTGTCTCACTCGGGGCAGGCTCTGAACGGGGCAGCTACATTGTAATTCAGTTTTGTGGAGGATTTGACATCATGGTGTTGGAAACACGGGGAAATAGGATAGTGGAAGGTAGAAGGATAGAAGAGTAATTGAAGGAAAACAGGGGGAGCCTGATTTAGGCACGGGAGAATTGGAGGATGCACCTTGTTGCCCTTATAACATTCTGTGGTTGCCTTAAATGCGTTCCTTTGGGCCAGAAGAGGTTTGGGTGCTTCTAATTAGGGCTTGAGATATCCAGGGATTTCACCGAGACTTTTGGATATGCGGGAAATGTAGTGTGAAGGGGACCGAAGGGACCAAACTGCTCCAAAGAAATGGGTGTAAAACTGGGAGAGGGCACTGATGTTCCCACGAAAGGATTTAGTATTGCATCTGAAAATATCTTAAGGGTTCCCAAGTTATACAAAATCTCAGGTCTGTAATTGCATTTACTGCCCCAGACAGAGGAGGATAGATAAAATTTTGAATTACAGACGTGAGTATTAAATGTGATGTTGACCTTGAGCTATGGAATAAACTGTGCATCGTGAGAGATCTGGTGTACTTTGTGCTTTATTAACATGTGTCTGTAAACACTATGGGGTCTTGATTGATCTTTGGTATCTAAACATTACATCATAATTAACAACAAATCCAGAAATATATTCTAAATACATGAAATAATAGTACATTAGCCTAAAGGACAGCAATAAATTGCAACGCTTAGCATAAACTTGAAAACCACTAATGGGCCACTGTGCAGTTTGTTTATACTCTGAGCAGTCAAGAACTCTGTGTAATGTACAGGAGCAGCGTGGTGGAAGATTTATGGGGTTTGTCATGGACACACACAGCTGATTTTTTGATTTTTTGGAGTCATTTCTGAGCATTCTCCTCTCAGCCTGGTCCGCTGCCTTCTTCCAGGGCTGCTGGAAAGTTCCAGGGTCCTTTGCATGGCACAGGTGGATTTGGGCTGGTCTGATATGAACGTGTTTAATTCTGCCCTTGGAACTGGAAGTATTCCCTGAATTACCTCCTGGAATTTCTGTGGTTCTGTTACTCCTGGTTTATCTGTGGAGGACAAACGAGGCCGTGTTTGACACCAGGAGGAGAGAGGTGGAATTCCTGCCTGTGTGACAGCAGCTTCCAGAGTCCTTTTTGTCACTGCTGAGGAGGGTTTCGTGGCCCTGTTCCTAAAAATCTTAATTCACTGCACACTCGTCTGTCAACACTTTTTTCCCCATTATTACTATTAAAAGCCTTGTGCCTCTGTGTTTTCAGCCATGTTTTGAGCAGTCATGGCCACGATACCCTGACTGCACACCCCGAGGGCTGTTTGCAAGAGAGCATTTTGGGTTATGTAGTTCCACACTTTCCTCCTGTAGGAATACAGGGATACTTTTTCTGTGTGTAATGTTAACACTGAGAGGAAAGAAAACATCCTGTAGTGATTGTTTCCCAGTTTCTTGGCGTGGGTTGTTGTGTGCCAGGGCTGTTGTGTGTAGTTTTTACAACAACATAACCCCAGGATGCCAACTGGAAGTGTTGAAGTAGAAACACACACTTCTGTTGCATGGGATGGTGAGATGTCATTTTTTCCCTCTGTCATCTCACAGCTCTGTTGTAACTGAGGGTGGCAGTTTGTACACAGTTCTTATATTTGGTTTTGACCAGGAGAATTTGCTGCTTTAAACAGAAATACCCTCGGTGCCATCATTTTTGGGGTTTCCTTTTTTGGCCCTCCTTAATCCCTGTGGGGTCTCTAACCCTTTTTTGAGCCATCCGTGAGGGTGAAGCACTTTGTGAGCAGACTCAGAGCTCTGAGTGCTGTGACTGTAGGTCAGTAAGAGCAGAATCCCTGGTTTTGGGGGGCTGGTTGAGCTGTGTGGTTGGGGGATCCTTGGGGTCTGTCACCAGGACTGAAGGAGCAGGTGTGCAGCGCTGGTTTTTGCTTTATCTGTGTAATGTCGATGGAGCATTTCGTGTCCCGACGGTCTGTCAGCCAAATATCTTGTCACAAGTCACAAGACTTAAATCCTTTTTTTATCTCCCAAGGCTTCGGGGGGCTCGGTTGGAAACTTGCACTTTGATGAATACTTTGCTGCTTTTGTCTGGAATAGCTGGAGTGCATTTCTGGAATATTTGTCAAGATTTTATCAGTGTTTACTCCAATTTGAGTACCTAGTGTATTGTAAAACTGGCTTCAGTGAAATCTTGAAGAATTTTATGGAGTTTATGCTGTTTAATAATATAATGAGAACTAATCCTTCGTCTGTATGTTTGTTTGCTGTGGTAAATCCCACTTGCATACTGGTTCTTTTTAGTCAGCTTTTACCTTTAAAAACAATTTTGGAAGAATTGTTTTAGGACTTTTTTTCCTCTATGATAAATCATTTTAACCTCCACTACTTGTTTTCTTGAGTTGTCTGCCAGGACCGGGCTAGAAACAAACTTTAATCTCTCTTTTCAAGCATTCCTTCAGAAACAAGAATTTGCTTTCCATCAAAGCGTTGTGTAGAGCACACTTAAAAGAGAATTAAATCCTTCTGGACTTCATATCTGAGATCTGTGCAGGGAGTAACTGTAGTGGAAAATGTTTAACTGTATTTTTGTATTTGCTTCAAAACTGGCCATTTTAAGCTAAAATAAGACTTGTGCCAGGATTTGTCAAAATCAGGCCCAGTGGTGAGATGTCTCTCTCTTCCTTCTCATCCCTCCTTTTCCCCCTTTTTGGGCAATCTCTACAAATTAAACAAGCCAATACAAAACATGTAATTGAAATGATTTCCCAGCTCTTTTTAGAGCTTTGAGTTCTATTTGAAAATTCCACCAGGCTCTTGTGGCTTTCTGTGGCACTTTGCAGCGTGGTTTGTTTTCGTTAAGTTCGGGCCCGTTGAAAAGGAAAATCTCAGAAATCTTTTGAGAAGTGCACAAAATTTGGCAGTGGGTATTACACTGCTGCTCATGTCCAATAATAGAGCTGATTTATATAAAATATGCTTTTCTGATTTATGTAAAATATGCTTTTATTCCCTTTTCCAATTAAGATTTGTGTTGGTTTAAGACGTGGCTGTTTCCCAGGTCAGAGATGTGAACGCTGGTGACTCCATCCCGCTCCTCCCCTGTTTTCCAGGTCCAGGACATCTCCTTCAGCCACGACTGTCGCTGGGTGGTGGTCAGCACGCTCCGGGGCACTTCCCACGTTTTCCCCATCAATCCCTACGGGGGCCAGCCCTGTGTGAGGACACACATGTCCCCCCGGGTGGTGAATCGCATGAGCCGCTTCCAGAAGAGCGCGGGGCTGGAGGAGATCGAGCAGGAGCTCACGTCCAAGCAAGGGGGACGCTGCAGCCCCGTGCCAGGCCTGTCCAGCAGCCCCTCTGGCTCACCCCTCCACGGTAAATCCACTGCTTTCCTTTCTTCCCTCCCCCTTATATCGTCAAGAATTCCTAAAGTGAGGTACTGCGGGTTTTGTGCAAAAATATGTGATGTAAGCAGGTATTACAGGAATGAGCCAAGGTGGACATACCTCAGAAGGACAGTTCTAGTTTTGCAGCTCAAGTAAACGATGCTATCACAGATGTGTTAATGATTTCCACTCTAAACTGAAAGTTTGGGGGCCTTTAGGTCTCTAGTTTCCATCTAGGTCAGTAATCTGGTCCGTATTCAAGTGCCATTACCTAAAATTCTCACTGCTCATCAGCCCCAGTGGTCAGGAAGCACATCTGGATATCTGCAATAAATGCTGCTCGAGGAGAAATGTGGAAACCAGACAGTGGGAAGTTGATGGCACAGATTTTTGTCCACTTTTTTTTTGTGTGTGCGTGTGAGCAATGTGACAAATAACGTGCAAAGGGAAAACAGTCTGTAAGAATTGATCTGTCCATCCTGGTCCTGTGGTGGAGACACTCGAAGGATGTGAAGGGGAGCCTCAGAAATGTTCAAAAATCATCATTGCCACAGCTTCTTCAGTTTTGTCTTTGCCATTCTTTCTGCCTTTCTCTTTCATGAGGTCTGTGCTAGAAGCTGCTTTGTTTGGATTCGGGATTTGCTGCATCCTTGTGCCTCCTTTCCATTAAGAGTAAGTCACAACTTCCATGGAAGTGAAGTTTCAATAGCAGTTTGTTTGGGCTGCCCACCCTTTTCCAGTCTGAGAGTGTTCAAAATGGCCAAGGACAGTCCCTCTTCCCTAATTATGAGTAGGGTTGGTGCTTGTGAAAGCCCAACTCTGTACTGGGCTCTCTGCTATAGAGAGAACCTTTGTGGGGATTTGGAATCAAAGGGACTGTTTTATGTCTTGGTGATTATTAAGGGAACCAGGCTTGTCTCAGAAGAAGCCTCTGTATTTTCTCCTTTCTTTGGACTTTTCTGAACAAAGGTTTGTGCATAGCTGTTCTGGAGCCCTGCTCTTCTGCCTGGAGCCACTGGAAGGCACCCAAAACGTGCTCTGAAGTTTCCTCCTCCTTGCAGACAGTTGTGTATCATCTACCAGTTTACTTTCTGTCCTTGCTGCAGAGCAGCTCAGCCTGTCAGGCCTGAGACAGGCTGGGGACCGCTAAAACTTTGCTATGGCAAATCCCTTTTAACTGTTGACATCACACAGAGGAGAGGAAGGAACTATCAATTTGTGTAGCTTTCATCCAGCCAATTCTGTTTTCTGTCAAGGGGAGCTGCAGTAAGTTGTTGCCTTTGCAGAGCTCTGAGGGGCATTTGAAGTTTTGAATAGATTTGACACTTCTTTCTGGAAGAAGGCTCAGCAGTTCCACCTCCCCCAGGATGCTCAGTGGTGGGCAGGTTGTGCGTGGACGAGTCCCTGAGAGAAAGGGAGCAGCTTTCAGGGGAGTGTCTCAAGAGTTCTGAGACTTTGGTTGGCAAATGTCTGTCCCGAAAGATAATAAATCAGATTTCTTTCAAGATCTCTGCGCAGTCATCATGGCTTGAAAATGAGCTCTGTTTAAACAGTCAGCTCTGTTGGAGGGCTGCACGTGGGCACGGGCAGTTAAGGCAGGAAGGTAACTGTGGCTCCTGGAGGATTTCACACAGATTGTGCTCATCACTTCGATGATGAAGGGCTTGGAGTTGGACACGAGCTAAGACCGTGTGCTGGTAACTCACAAACCTGCTTGTGAAAGTTTTCCATGAGAAGGTTGCGGGGATCGTGTAGAGGAGTTAGCAGAGTTGTCTGAAAAAAATCTTAGGGGGAAAAAAGAAAGATAAAATGGTTCCATTTTAAAAAAGTCCATTTGAGAAAATACTGTAATATTTTCAGTAATTTTATTGCTGCTTTTTCATTTCAGTAATCTTTCAGTTTACCTGGCTGCAGGCAGGCAGGATATTGAACCCCATTATAGGCTTGTTATAAAAAGCCATTTATCATCAACTTGTTAAAAAAAAAAACAAACCTGAAGTTCACAGCAACTTTCAGCAGAGGGATTGTATGTGTGTGTTTGTGTGTGTGTGTGGCAGCTGCATTAGCCAGAGACCGATGATTATTTTAATTTGTGAGCTAAGATGTGTTTACTCAGATTGTAACAGCTCCTTCCCATATTCTAATGTTAAATGATTGTTGTTTGGAGGAGTTAGGACAGTCTGGTGACAGGAGTGTAAGCCAGTACTCCAGAGAGGGAAGAGCAGTCCTGGATTTTACTTTTAACTCGCTCTGCAACCCTCAGTAAATTTTGTTGAGCTGATTCTGTCTATGAGTTTTGTGATGTTTGACAGCAGTAATAATCTGTGTGTTCCCCATGTGTGGAATTACTTTAATTTTGTAATTTTCTTCAAGAAGAATAACTGTTGCTTTCCTTAATCATCCCTCTAAATGCAGCTGATTATAATGGAAATAAAACCAAAGACCATGTCCTGAAGAGCACCACAGCACTGGGACAAATTGTTCATTGGGTGACTGATTCAGAGGAGATCGTGGCAAACTGGAAGATTTTTTTTTTGGTGTCCTTTGCAATCCAGAAAACTTTAAATAAACCTCAATTTAAAAAAACCCCTGCTGTTAATCCTCCTACTAATATTTCTTCTGCATTAAAATCTCATTGCTACAACCTTGTGCCAAAAGAACGGGCTGCCACGCACAGAGCACTGGCTCGTTATCTTCTTTTTCTGATTAGCAGTCGTAACTTATTGATGGCAACTTGTGATTAGCTTTTGTTCCTGTAAATATTTTCAGAGTTCGTGCTCTGTCATATTTTTCACCTCCCAGTTTCAAACTGAGGCTGTTTGCTGTGTGTATAGTAGCGAGGCAATCTATTTACATTTTGCCGGAGCGCCCCAGGAACTGTTTACCCACCCAACGTCAGCCTTTACTGGGGCTGGGGATGATTTCATTTCCAAATGAATCATAGCTGGGCTTTGTTCTTTTTAGCAGACTGAAGTAAACTGTTAAACGGAGGATGATAAAGAGATATTTCCTTTGCACCTTTTATAGCCGACAGAGATTTTGTTTGGGCTGCTCTGTCTCTCAATCCAGCGACGTTGTATTTTTGTCATTCCTTTGGATTGCCAGAGTTGTCAGGAATATCTGAGCTGGGTTGGGATCCTTTTATGGGCTTTTACTATTATAAGACTATTGCAACATCACTTGGTTGTGGGGGTGAATATTGGGGTAGAATTTGGCCTTACATGACCTTTCTACTTGTATAAAATGGGGTTTATGGTTCTTACCTATCTCACAGGTATGATGTGGGGATTAAGGGATGAGTGGTAGAAACAAAACTATGTCCTTGGTGATGCAAAAGTGTCCCTGGTCTCCTCAGGACACCTATATGGGAATAGCAAAGAGCATTTAGGTGTTAAAAAGTAATGTTTTACTTGGAAGATTGAAAAATATATCTCTCTCTAAGTATTTTTATTCTGCAGATTAAAATTTACCGAGTGTTATTGTCATTACTTCTTGCACCACCAGTAAGTGAAATAAAGTCTCTGTAGCTCTGCTCAGAGCTTCTCTGTTGCTGGCTGCAGGGATTTCCAGTATCAGAACAAATAATAATAATAATAATTATTATTATTATACAGTAAGTTAAACACACATTCAACCTATATATCCACACCTACTAAAACCATTCCATAACAATATGATACTCTCTGAATTTGTCCTGCATTTTGCTGGGGATTGAAGTATTTATTTGGATTGGTGTAATTTTGCCAAAAACCCGTTCATAGTACACCATGGGGTTTTTTTCCAGATTTAATACCGATGCTGAGATGGAGTAGATAAATTTAGAATTGTGAAAAAACTTGCTGTTCTGGATATAGTGCATTCAAGGCTTGTATTTATCTCTTCATAAATATTTTAGTATGGCACGTTTTTCATTGCAAAATCTCTTCTAATTTTAAAAATCAAAAGGTTTCATCTCGCTTTTCCTTCATTTGTCACAATCACAACATGATTAAAATCCAGGCATAAAACTGGAAGTTCGATAAACATGCAGCCCTGAGATGCTTTAAATATTTTCACGTTACTTTTCACTATTTCCCAGAGTGAAACTCCTTTTACTAGAAGAATTCTTATGGGAAAGCAGAGTTGAAAGGACTGACATCATCAGCCCTTCCTGAAAAACAGATTGGTTTCCTTTAAGTAACACTCACTTAAGAAACCACCTATTTAGAGAGAGGCAGACAAAAATAGTTTCGAAGAAAATTAACTGTATAATAACTTCAAGCACCGGAGGGCAGTTCCTTCGCAGAGTTTAACTCCAAACGCTGCGAACACGAGCTGGAAACTGTTCTTTGAAAACTCTCTGTGGAGTTTAATTTTTCCCTTTGTGATCTGCAGCGTCTCTCGATAAAAGCGGGTTTTAGAATTGTGTAAAAGCAGTAAATCAAGCTGCAGCATCGGCCCGTAGTTTTAATGTGATTTTAACATTTGTATTTGCGTAGAATTGTTGTGCTTCTCCGCAGCATCGCACTCGGCTCTTTTTTATATAGATGTAATATCACGTAGTTCTTTCTGCAGCTTCGGTTCAAAGCCTGAACGCGTCTCTCTTCTTATTTCAAAGCTCGGTTTTAGTGACTGCTTTTAAGCTGATTGCACTAATTTCTCCTTAGAACACCGTTCAGCTGCACGGGTGTACCTAACCCTCTGCACGGACACACGAAGCGCTCCGAGAAGACACGAAGTCGAGCGCGTTCCCTCTGGCGGATCATTAATGTCATTACTTATCGATTTCCGATGGGAAACCGGTTATTTTTTTATCGATTTGTTATTTATTTGGAGGCTCCCCGCGGTCCCTCGGTCCCCTCAGCGCTCCCGCCGGTGCCCGGCGCGGCCTGCAGGGGGCGCCGTCCTCCCGGGCATGGCGCCTCAGGCGGGGCCGGCCCTGAGGGGGGCCCTGCTCGGCGGGCAGATGGTGGCGAGGAGGGTGAAACCTCCTTTTTTCCCCCCCCCTCG